CAAGGTGGCCTGAAGGTCATTCAAGATGGTCCAAGGTGGTCTAAAGGTCATCCAAGGTGGTCCAAGGGTCATTCATGGTGGGCCAAGAGTTGTCCAAGGTGGTCCAAGATGGTCCAAGGGTCATTCAGGACAGTCCAGGGTGGTCTGAGGGTCATTCCAGGGGGTCCAAGGTGGTCCAAGGTTCCTTCGAGATGGTCCAAGGGTCATCCAAGGTGGTCCAGGCTTGTCCAAGAGTCATCCATGGTGGGCTGGAGTGGTCCAAGGTGGTCCAAGATCCATCCAAGGTTCTCCAAGGTGGCCCCAGGTCCATCCAAGGCGCTTGAAGGTCCAGCCAAGGTTGTCCAAGGTGCTCCAAGGTGATTGAAGGTCCAGCCAATGTCATCTAAGGTTGTCCAACGTGGTCCAGGATGGCCCCAGGTCCATCCAAGGTTCTCCAAGGTGGCCCCAGGTCCATCCAAGGTGGCCCCAAGTCCACCCAAGGTTCTCCAAGGTGGCCCCAGGTCCATCCAAGGCGCTTGAAGGTCCAGCCAAGGTTGTCCAAGGTCAATCCAAGGTGCTCCAAGGTGATTGAAGGTCCAGCCAACGTCATCCAAGGTTGTCCAACGTGGTCCAAGGTGGCCCCAGGTCCACCCAAGGTTCTCCAAGCTCCATCCCAGGAGATCCAAGGTTGTCCAGGCTTCATCGGAGGTGGTTGAAGGTTCAGCCAAGGTTGCCCAGGCTCCATCCCAGGAGATCCAAGGTGGTCCCAGGTCCATCCAAGGTGGCCCCAGGTCCATCCAAGGTTCTCCAAATCAGCCCCAGGTCCATCCAAGATTCTCCAAGGTTGCCCAAGCTCCATCCCAGGAGATCCAAGGTTCTCCAAGGTCCATCCCAGGAGATCCAAGGGGGCCCCAGGTCCACCCAAGGTTCTCCAAAGTTGCCCAAGCTCCATCCCAGGAGATCCAAGGTTCTCCAAGGTCCATCCCAGGAGATCCAAGGTTGTCCAAGGTCCATCCAAAGTTCTCCAAGGTGGCCCCAGGTCCATCCAGGGTTCTCCAAGCTCCATCCCAGGA